AGGAGGAGGAGGAGGAGGAGGAGGAGGGGGAGGTGGAGAAGGGAGGAGGAGGAGCAGCAGCAGCAGGACCAATGTAAACCCAAGAGTCATCAACGATGATGGAAGAACCCCTCCTGCCAAGCTCCCTCTTCCCAGGCACCATAGAACTGTTCATTTCCACTGAGGGAACTGCCTCGCTGGAAGACAATAGGTTGAAGACCCTGAAGCATGCCAAAACATTGTCATCAGGATTCCAACGTCACGGACCAACCTGACTGATGCGCCTTGACGATTCGGAATCGTGCCAGATCGCCACCCTTGGGGCTTCAAACCCGCGAGCCAAATTGATTGTTGCACCTTCAGAAGCCTGAGCCCTTCCAAACACACAAGTTCTGGTACGTTGACTATGAGAATACGCGAAACTCTTGTACAAGTTATAAACGAAAGTGCGCGGCGCTAAGGCGAGAGCCACATGTTGAAAAGGAACCGCCTTCAATCCGCGAAGCTCTTGCACATTTTGATAGCGAGTGCACGTAGCGCTGAGGCGAGAGGCATATGTTGAAAACGGGTCGCTCTCAATCCGTGAAGCCCTTGCAACAAATTAACACGATTGTGCGCGGCGCTAGGGCGAGAGCCACATGCTGAACACCACCCGCCATCCACGTGCGAATCGGTTGTCAAGGTTTAAGCTTCAGGGTGACCAATGGTGAAGGAGTCTCAGGCGAAACGCCCGACCGGCCCTAAAAAATTAGACTCGCGATGCGACAAGGAGAAGATATGTATCAGGAAAAGGAATGGAGGAGAAGGAGGAGGAGGAGGAGGAGGAGGAAGAAGAAGAACAAGAAGAAGAGTAGGTGGAGGAGGAGGAGGAGGAGGAGGAGGAGGAGAGGGAGGAGGAGGGAGGAGGAGGAGGAGGACGAGGACGAGGACGGAGGAGGAGGAAGACGAGGTGAGACGAGGACGAGGACGAGGACGAGGACAGATGACGGAGGACGAGGACGAGGCGGGGGAGGGGGGGGGGGGGAGGGGCGTAGGAGGAGGAGGAAGGAGGAGGGAGGAGGAGGAGAAGGAGGTGGAGGAGGAGGAAGAGGAGAGGAGGGGGAGGAGGAGTGAGGAGGAGGAGAGGACAAGGAGGGGGAGGAGGAGGGGGGAGGAGGAGGGGAGGAGGAGGAGGCGGAGGAGTTGATGCGGAGAAAGGAGGAGGAGAGGAGGAGGAGTGAGGAGGTGGGGGAAGGAGGGGAGGCGGAGGAGGTAGGTGCGGAGGAGGAGGAGGAGGAGGAGGAGGGAGGAGGAAGAGGAAGAGAGGAGAGGCGGGGGTAGGAGGAGGAGGAGGAGGAGGAGGAGGAGGAGGAGGCGGAGGAGGAGGAGCGGAGGTCGTGGGGGGGGAGCGGGAGGTGGGAGGCGGGAGGAGGAGGGCGAGGGGGTTTAGGGGTTGGGGAAGGGGGGAGGAGGAGGAGGAGGAGGAGGAGGCGGAGGGAGGAGGAAGAGGAAAAAAACGAGGAGGAGGAACATAAGGAAAATGAGGGAAAGGATGAAAAGAAGGAAAAGGAGAAGAAAAGTAGGAGAAAAGGAACAGAAGAGGAGGGTAAAAGGAGGAGAAAAGGAGGAAATGGAGGACATGGAGCAGGAGGAGGAGTGGGAGTGGGGGGAGGGGGAGGAGGTGGAGAGGAGGAGGAGGAGGGGGAGGGGGAGGGCGAGGAGAAGGAGAGAGCGCGAGGCCGACGGCGAAGGTTCGCTCCGCGGAGACCGCGCGGCCGCGGCCGCGCTCCTTCAGGGGTCCTGCACCGCACGGCCAGGACCCCTGGCCACGGGGGCCCGCCCGAAGGCAAGGCCCCCGACCGTGAGGAAGCCGACCTCCGAGACGGACTTACCCATCGTAGAGCACGGCATGGCATGGCGTAGAAGAACACCGCAAAGCGTAGCATCAACCTAACATTGCATTGCACGCCGTGGCATGGCACGGGAAATGACGCCAGCGCTGGAGCGGGAGCACGAGTCGAAACGAGCGGAAGCGCGGAAATGAGGCCAGCGCTGCAGCGGGAGCACGATTCGGAACGAGCGGAAACACGGAAATGAGGCCAGCGCTGCAGCGGGAGCACGATTCGGAACGAACGGGGCTCGAAAATGAGGCCGGCGCCTCAGCGAGAGCAGCACTTTGAAATTACCCTGGCGACGTACACTTTATAAGGGGGGCGGTGACGGAACGAGGGTTACATATGTCTGCAGACGGAATTCGGGAGACTCGCAGGACACTGGCTACAGGACAAAGACTAGATAAAGCTGATTAGTTACAATCCCTGAGCAACCCTAGCCACTTCGAAAGCGGGGATCTCAGATCGCAGCCCCCCAGGGATGGCGAGGTCTAATTTGGGTCCGCGCGTGGCGTCACTGTGCTGGGCCCCCAGCAGGCCTCGAAAGTGGCGACAGTTTCACAGATCGCAGCCCCCCAGGGATGGCGAGGTCTAATTTGGGTCCGCCCGTGGCGTCACTGTGCTGGGCCCCCCAGCAGGCCTCGAAAGTGGCGACAGTTTCACATATCGCAGCCCCCCAGGGATGGCGAGGTCTAATTTGGGTCCGCCCGTGGCGACACTGTGCTGGGCCCCCCAGCAGGCCTCGAAAGTGGCGACAGTTTCACAGATCGCAGCCCCCCAGGGATGGCGAGGTCTAACTTGAATCTGCGTGTGGCGTCACTGTGCTGGGCCCCCCAGCAGGCCTCGAAAGTGGCGACAGTTTCACACATCGCAGCCCCCCAGGGATGGCGAGGTCTAATTTGGGTCTGCCCGTGGCGTCACTGTGCTGGGCCCCCCAGCAGGCCTCGAAAGTGGCGACAGTTTCACAGATCGCAGCCCCAGGGATGGCGAGGTCTAATTTGAATCTGCCGCGATTACCCTCTATGCCGGACCCCCCAGCAGGCCTCGAAAGTGGCGACAGTTTCACAGATCGCAGCCCCCCAGGGATGGCGAAGTCTAATTTGGGTCCGCCCGTGGCGTCACTGTGCTGGGCCCCCCAGCAAGCCTCGAAAGTGGCGACAGTTTCACAGATCGCAGCCCCCCAGGGATGGCGAGGTCTAATTTGGGTCCGCCCGTGGCGTCACTGTGCTGGGCCCCCCAGCAGGCCTCGAAAGTGGCGACAGTTTGACAGATCGCAGCCCCCCAGGGATGGCGAGGTCTAATTTGAGTCCGCGCGAGGCGTCCCTGCGCTGGGCCCCCCAGCAGGCCTCGAAAGTGACAGTTTCACAGATCGCAGCCCCCCCGGGGGTGGCGAGGTCTAATTTAGGTCTGCCCGTGGCGTCCTAGTGTGGGCCCCCCAGCAGGCCTCGAAAGTGGCGACAGTTTCACAGATCGCACCCCCCCGGGGATGGCGAGGTATCATTTGAATCTGCCCGTGGCCCTCACTGTGCTGGGCCTTCCAGCAGGCCTCGAAAATGGCGACAGTTTCACAGATCGCTCCCCCCCAGGGATGGCGAGGTCTAATTTGAATCTGCCCGTGGCGTCACTGTGCTGGGCCCCCAGCTGCCTTCGATAAGTGGCGACCGTCACAACAGATCGCAGCCCCCAGGGATGGCGAGGTCTATAATTTGCGTCTGCCCGGGGCGTCACTGGCTGGCCCTAGGAGGCCATGAAAGTGGCGTAGTTCGCAGATCGCATCCCAGGGGTGGCGGGTATTAATTTGGTGTCTGCCGTGTGGCGTCACTGTGCTGGGCCCCCCAGTAGGCCTCGAAAGTGGCGACAGTTTCACAGATCGCAGCCCCCCCAGGGATGGCGAGGTCTAATTTTGGTCTGCCCGTGGCGTCACTGTGCTGGGCCCCCCAGCAGGCCTCGAAAGTGGCGACAGTTTGACAGATCGCAGCCCCCCGCAGGCAAGACAGGAGGAGGCAAGAGGGAGACGGGACGGGAAGGAGGAAGTGGAGACCACACTGCTCTATTCAAAACGAATACCCAACCAAGGAGGGTTGGGAAAAAAATGCAGGCGAAAATCCAACTCTGGGAAATCTGTGTGTAAAAACACAGTACGCGGGGGGGTCGGATACTTTCAAGCCGTCATCAGGGGAAGAGGGAGAGTAGTATTCATGTTGAGTAATTGTGGAGGAGGAGGAGGAGGAGGAGGAGGAGGAGGAGGAGGAGGAGGAGGAGGAGGAAGCGGGAGGGGAGGAGGAGGAGGAGGAGGAGGGGAGGAGCAGGAGTGGAGGAGGAGGAGGAGGCGGAGGAGGGGCGGAGAGGGACGCAGGAGGAGGAGGGAGGGGGAGGGGTGAGGGGGCGGGGGCAGCGGGGAGGGGGAAGGGAGGGAGGCGGAGGAGGAGGCGGAGGAGGAGGAGGAGGAGGAGGAGGTAGCGGGAGGGAGGAGGAGGAGGAGGGAGGAAGGGAGGGAAGGGGGGGAGGAGGTGGAGGAGGCGGAGGCGGAGGAGGAGGAGGAGGAGGAGGAGACCGGAGCCGGAGAGGAGACGGAGACGGAGACGGAGACGGAGACGGAGACGAAGACGGAGACGGAAACGGAGCCGGAGACGGAGACGGAGACGGCGACGGAGGTGGAGGAGGGAGGAGGAGGAGGAGGAGGAGGAGGAGGAGGAGGAGGAGGGGGAGGAGGAGGTGGAGAGGAGAAGGAGGAGGAGGAGGAGGAAGGTGAGGAGGAAGGAGGAAGACCAGCTCTCCATCCCGAGTCGTTATGTTTTTTGTCGCCGCCCCAGGGCCCGTGGAGGGCCTCAGGGCCCGAGCACGGCAAACCACGCCCAGAGACCGATGCTTTCCAGGAGGACCCTCTTGGGGGGGCACGTTCTGCTCCACGGCCATCCTCACAAGTATGCCCCTGTACCTCTCCAGGGGTGCGTTCCGGCCAGGACTTCGAAGGGCAGTCCAGCCGTGGCGACGGGGGCGCTCCAGGAGGCGCAGACAGCCAGGACAACGCCCGAACGCACCATCGAGCCTCATTCTTTCCGCCCCTCGACCCTTCGGGCCCGCCTCCTTCATGCTCATGCAGGCCGTGGACGTGCGCTCTACCCGATGGGCTGCTCCACGCAGTGGGCGGCACGCACCCAGGGTACAAGCTCATCCGTCGCAGAGCGCACGGAATGCGCATCATCTGAGGTCCTGCCCCTCGCGCGGGGAATTTCCCGCAAGGATTTGCTTGCTTGATTGCTTGCTTCGGCGGCGCGCTTGTGGGGAAGCGTAACTTGGCATCGCTCGGACGTGTGCCTCTTTCTCGGCGACCACCTTCCAGGAGCATCCCAGATCATCGAGCAAAAAAGCACGCACGAAACCAACAAATGCACGGGGAGTGGACGTCCGAGCGATGGCAAGTGTTTGCTTGCTTGCTCCGGCGGCGCGCATGTGGGGAAGAGAAACGGGGAGGGCCTCCTCAGCAGGCTCGGAAGACCTCGGGCCTTCAGAGAAGTGTCCTGAGCCTCTCCCCGAGGGCAAAAAATAGATCCTCAGAAGGCCGCGGGGGCCTCTGAGAAGCCCCGCCGCCTTCTGAGAGGGCCTTCTCCCTCTCGCTTCCCTCCCAGGTCGCGTGTAAGGGGCCTTAGCGGCTGCGTCTCCATCGTGGATGAAGCAGAGGGAGAGAGAAAAAAAAAAAAAAAAAAAAAATCTCGCTTCCCTCCCGGGCGCGCCGCCGACTGCCGACGGCTCCGCCGACCTGCCGCCCACGCATCCCCAGGGCTGGCGGCGAGGTCCGCCACGGCGCGCGCGGCCCCTCCGCGCGGCCGCCGGGCGAGCGGCCGCCCGCCGCCGCCCCGAAGGGGGCGGCGGCGAGGGGCGGGGCTCCTCTTGCTGGCTGCTCGGTCGGGCTGCGCGCGGGGGGGCGGGCCGCTCGTTCCCGCCGGTCTGCGGGGGCGGCGGGGGGGGCTCGCGCTCTGTTTTGATATTCCAGATTTCGTAATAAAGGGAGGGGGGTCTCATTTCGGAGGGGGTCTCTTCCTGGCTGTCTTGGAGGGCCTGGGGGGGTCTGGGGACGATGTTTTGGAGGGTTCTCCCACGGGGGGGGGTCTAAAACTTTTCGTCTGGGAGGGTTGAGACCCCCTCCCTTTTATTACGAAATCTGGAGTATTCAGCGTGCGGTGTGTGGCTATCGGCCATGGGCCTCCACCTCTCGGGAAGGGGCACCGCTTCCACGATGACGACGCACCCCCTTTCTGCCGTGGATCCCGACGGGGCGAGCCCCGCCCCACGCAGGCCCGCAGCACCCGTCGGGCACCAGGGCAGACCTCGGCGGCCCAACCTCTTGGCATCGCTCGGACCTGTGCATTTTTTTCCTGCGGCGAGGAGCATCGAGGAGCATCCTTGATCACTTGGCGGAAAGACCACGCACGAAGCCGACAAGAAACACATGGAACGGACGTCCGAGCGATGGCGAGGTGGGGAGGGGGGGGCGGGCGCGCCGAGGGGAGAGAGAGGCGGCGGGGCGGCAGGCCATGAGCGCCCGCGCCACGTCCGGCATCCTGCCCCTCCCACCTCTCGGGGGTGGACAGACCTCCCACCCTGACACGTCGATTCGGGAATTGGCCGTTTTCGGTTCGCGACAGGGCGTCGCGGCCGTCATTTTTGCGGGTCCAGGTCTGTCGCTTTCGGTCCCAGGCCGTTTTCACTAAAGGGAGGTGCACTAAAGGGAGGATTGTCCAAAGCCGATATTCACTTCCCACGGCGCGGGTGGTGTCTCTGTCCGCGGGCGCGTGCCCAGGCCGACCGCACCGCCGACCCGGAACTCCAACAGAGCGGCCCCGTCGAGCGTCATGCGCCAGCCGAGATGGGGAGATGCGTACACAGGAGGAGGGGAGGAGGAGGAGGAGGAGGAGGAGGAGGAGGAGGAGGAGGAGGAGGAGGTGGCGGGGTAGCAGACGGATGAGCAGGAGGAAAAGGAGGAGGATGTGGAAGGAGGAGGACGAGAACGAACAGCAGCAGCAGCAGCAGCAGAAATTGGAGTGGCAGGAGCGGAAGGAGCAGAAGGACCAGGAGAAGGCGGCGGAAGAGACAGAAGGAGGCCGACAACGATGAACAAGGACACGGACCCAGAAAAGTGGCCCACGCTGAGGCGAGAGCGCCATTCTGAACGACGGGAGCAAAGCGCCGATCCGAAAATGAGGCCCACGCTTCAGCGGGAACATCATTTTACGTAGCACCACGCAGTTGCGGATAAGAGGGGGGCGGCAGGGTCGTCGGAAGCCGCCCGCACACGCCGATTGCTGAACACATTGCACATCGAGCCCGCCGCAGGCGCCGAATGTTCGTCAAAGCAATGTAGGTGGGTCGCGGGTGGGTCGCAGGTGGGTGGGGGGGTGGGTCGCGGGGTCGGTCGCGGGCGGGTCGTGTGCGAGGACGACGACGACGACAACAACAGCAACAATAATTTCAAGGTTATTCGTTTCTATCTGCCCGCGATTCATTCCGCATGTACATCCCAAACCCTTGGTACCCGCCCTCTTCGTCTTCGATCTTACCTCCCCTGGGGTTGTATCTTCCTTACCTGCCACGTGTACTTGGCGCAGCCCCTAATTCATGGGAGGGGGGAGGGAAGGGACAAGGAGGAGAGTGAAGGATGGAGCACGACAGAGATTAGCGGAGGGGGGCTATGAGCCGAATAGCAAGCGGCAGAACCAGACGGGCGGGGCTGGTCGGGCGGGCGGGCCCTCACGGCGGGGTCGAGCGGGCGGATCGCTGAAGCGTCAGTCGTGCATTCATCGCGAGGAAATTTCTAGCGACACGATCCCCAGGTAAATCGCAAGGACATCCAAAGCGAGAGCGTGGTTTCTGAGTGCCGAAGGCGTGGCGTCTCAATAAACTTGCGCAGACGCACCACGCGAGAGCGCGATTCTTGCACAAATGGGGACTCCTCGCCGCTCCCTGGCATCTCCGCGGGGCTCCAGCCCTTCGGGGAGGGGGATCGCCCTCTTGACCCCCGCCTGCCCGAGCCATCGGTCGGCTCCGCCGCTGCGCCCTCCTGGCGTCGCACGGAGGGGTCTCGGTGGACGAGCACGCGGTGGCGCTGGCACGCGTCCCGAGGGTCGTCGAGCGGGAGGGGGCCCGCGGGTGCCGGCGGAGGCAGAGTGGAGCTGCGCTCCGTGAGCGAAGTGTGTGTGTGTGTGTGCCGTTGCTTCGTTGCAGCGATGGGGGGGGCACAGGGCGCTCGAACTCTGCCGGCGAAGGGTATAGACAACAGCGAAAAGAAAAGCAGCCCGAGAGAGGTCCACGTCGGCGCACCCAGAGGCTTTAGAGCAAGGCCACGCAGGGCGTCCCAGAAAGGGCGCCTCGCCTTTGCCGCGCCTCGCCCTCGGCGGAAGCCGGCGGACGTCCACCTCCTCCTCCTCCTCCTCCTCCTCCTCCTCCTCCTCCTCCTCCTCCTCCTCTTCCTCCTCCTTCTCTTTGGGGTCCAGGGCTTTCCAGGGCCGACCACGTGGAGGTCGATGTCGGGATGCGCCGACGCCGCCGGTCGAAGCGCGAGGAGCGGTCGTCAGGCGCGAAGAAGCGCCACGAGCCCGTCATTGGCGCAGCACTGGGCGCCCACCACACAACTGTCCCTACGCGATTCGTTTCTGGGGTGCGTTTTCTGAAGGGCTCCGCTTGTTAGGGTGCTTGCGAGGTTGCTTCTTCTGCCCTCTACAAAGGAAGGATGCTCGAGGGAGGATCTGCGGGAGCGAGCGAAGCGCTCGAACTCGCATGTACAGACAGGCAGTCTGGGCACGCAGGGGTTAGGCCTTAAGTCCTGCGTGCCAAGTCTGCCGAGTCGCTCCTAATTTGTCAACCCGCTCCGAAACTCTCAGGAGCGGGTTGAAGGCTGGAGTGTTTTTTACCGCCTGCGTCGTTCCACTGATCTTGGTGTCGTGAGCCGCTCAATCGGTGAAAATGGGTACGTCGCTGCCTCCCTGCACGTGCTTCCTTCTGAGGAGGAGGAGGAGGAGGAGGAGGAGGAGGAGGAGGAGGAGGGGAGGAGGGGGAGGAGGAGAGAGGAGGAGGAGGAGGAGGGGGGGTAGGAGGAGGAGGAGGGGAGAGGAGGAGGAGGGGTAGGAGGAGGGAGGAGGAGGAGGAGGAGGAGGAGGAGGAGGAGGCGGAGGAGGAGGTGGAAGGAGAGGGAAGAAGGAGAGGAAGAGAGGAGGAGGAGGGAGGAGGAGGAGGAGGAGGAGGAGGAGGAGGACAGGAAACCATGCCCCTGTGTACGCAGCCTGCGGCGTGCTGCCCTCTCCGAGCTCGGTGAGATCGACCTGCACACGCCCGCCGCCACTGTCAGATCTCATGTGGTCGAACACTGTTTGTCAGGAGGGGAAAAAGCACACAGACACAATTAATCGTCGATTCCTCAGAACATATGGGAAAATATGGGAAGTGTGGGGGAAGGCAAAAACCCAGAAAATATTGGAAAAGATGGGGAATCTTTTTATTTGTGTGTATTTATTTGTGTGTGTGTGTGTGTGTGTGTCCCAGGGCCCCTTCAGTTTGATCGGCTCTCAGTCGCACGAGGTGGCTGACTCGTCGCCTACAGTCGCACCGAGGCATAACATCGAGGTCGGCTCGGGGAGGGTACCCTCATGTTCTGTGTGTTTCTTGGATGCTCTTTTGCATCCTGGGGGTGGGTACCCCGGGATGCTCTTCATTTGGGCCGGCGGAGGGTCTAATGTTCTTGAAGGATATACTAGTATGTCGTAGGTCCGACTATACGCTTATACCTGATCGGCCTTATCACCAGCAGTCCCATATGCCCGCGGGCGCGGGGCGTCACCGCTGACCATCCCAGAGAAAGGGGTGGGAGCGACATGGCCACGGGCCAGCTCGAGCTCGACTCGGAGGCGCGCCGCGCGGCTGCATGGATACGACTTCTGCGAGCATGGCATGAGCGGGTGGTCTTCGGCATGCGTGCGCACAGACAGACCCCCCCCCCCCAAGGCAGTTCCAGCTGGCCTCAGCAGGCCCCCCGAGTAGCCCGGGGCGGTCTCAACACCTTGGCGCGGATGAGGAGGAGGAGGAGGAGGAGGAGGAGGAGGAGGAGGAGGAGGGAGGAGGAGGAGGAGGCGCCGCCTCCGGCGGCGCCGTTGGGGTACTCGGGGGGGAGCCTGTGGGGACTGCTCGGGGGGGCCTACGGAGGCCCGCCGGGGCTGCAGTCCACCCGCATGGTGAGGATGGGCAGCCTTCCCAAGGCTGCCCTTGCATCCTTGCCTCCGCGGTCCGTCTTTGCGCAAGAGGGAAAGAAACACACAGACACAATCGGCGATTCCCCAGAAAATATGGGAAACTATGGGAAGTGGGGGGGAAGACAAAAACCCAGACAATATGGGAAAATATGGGGAATATTTTTATTTGTGTGTATTTATTTGTGTGTCCCAGGGCCCCTTCATTTGGCCGCGCTTTCGCTGGCCGCGCCCCGCTCGCAAAGCGTCGGAGCGGCCTTCCCAAGGCCCCAGCCTCCTCATCGCGCATCCTCATGATACGGGTCGACTGCACCTGGACGGGAGCTGCCTGTGCGCAAGACTCGAAGCCTCACCAACGGCAGGCAGAGTGAAACCCCCGACAGGGCCCCTCGGGGGCCCACCTCGGGGCGCCCCCAGGGGGGCCACACGCACTGCTGCACGCCTTGGCGGGAGCCAACGATTAACGACAACGGTGACAACGAGAGCGATCACGAGCACGATCACAACGATAAACGATGACGGCGACGACGACGATAGCGATCACGACTACGATGACAGCGATCACGGCGATGACAAGAGCGGCAACGGCAGCGACGGCAACGAGTCAACGAGAACGCTCACAGCGACAGCGAGAACGAGAGCGCGAACGACGACAGCGATGACGACAACGACCCCTCGCCTGGGGCGCGTCGCCCTGTCTGGGGCGCGCGCCTGGCCCCATCCCCGAGGGAGGCTCTCCCTGCCGTGAGGGGGCGTCGCCTGCCAGACGCCGCCCGTGCCCGCGCCTGACGGCCCCCGCTCCGGCGACGGGGCCGCGCGGCGCCCTGGATCCCGCCGCGCGGTGGTCGGGGGCAACGATGGGGGGGGGATAGGCACACTTGTTCGATCCGCGGGTCGAGAGCGCGCCTCTTCCGGTCGAAGCTGAGCGGGCCGCGCGAAGCTTGAATGAGGCGGAGAAGAGGAGGGAGGAAAAGGGGGGGGCGCAGCCTCCGAACGAGGCCGGGAGGAGGCAAAGCCTCGAGATCAGGCGGTGCCGTAGTCGACGTACTTGCAAAGGCGCGCCTTTTCCAGGAACCAATGGGGATAGGCACACACGTTGTTCGTTTCTAATTATTCGGGTTCTTGGATTCTCTAGGGGGCCAAGATCCTTTATCTTATCTAACTGT